TCTTCTCCACTGTTTTCCTTTTCTTTTATTTTTTTGAACACTGTTTTCCTCTTTTAAATAAAAAGATATACGTGATACAAAGAATGTAATGGTTCTAATCTAATACAACAGTCGCTTTATGTTCAAGTAGGTCTAACTAATAGGGACATTCATATAATAGATCTTTCAAGTATTGTTTTAAGAAAAAAAAAAAGAAATTCCGACAAAATCTAAATCGAAAAACATTTTATTCAAATGCACTGTCATACGGAATTATTGCGAATGCATAACGCACTGGTGCAGGAAACATTTCCATGATTAGTCATTCCAACACGTGTTTTATATATTTTCAAAATATTTTTTTACATATTCTGGCGTTCCAATAACAATAAGGTTGTGACTGTATGTCATCACTAGCGTTATATTTTTGGTGAGAAAATTATTTACTCTCAGTTCAGCTATAATTGTACCAATGAGGTTGAAAATGTCTCATTTGTATTTATGCTAGTAATTATTAAAATGGAGTAAAACTGTCAATGGTTTTCTTCTTACTATGTGTAGAAAAAAATTTTGCTACGCTCGATGTGACTGTTTCTTTTTCTTTATTATATTATTTACTCTACTAATGTTTTGCTCAATTTCTCTGTATTAATTACTCTCGGTTACTTTTTACTCACCAATCACACTCTAAGACTTAAAAACAGAAAAAGAAAATTTTAGCCAAAATTATTTTATAGATTTTTAAGATTGTACAGCCAGAGGTGGATGTAGCATAAAATTTATGAGAAGGCAAATCATACATAAATCTACAAAATTCAAAATTAAAATGTATTTTTAGTAGAAAAAAACAGCTAAAATTTGGACAATTTGCAAAGTATTTAAAAATGTTATGGGGGTAAGTGTCACCAACTTAATGCACTTACATATTTTTTTTAACTCAAAATGGTTAAATATTTAAAAAATATATATACCAACATATTTAACTCGAAATAGATATCCAACAATACAATGACTAAGGTTTTCATCAATATCAGATATGATATTTAGATCTGACATCTTCACCACCACGGTGGCTTCTCCACCATTCAGATTACTTTCTTATAAGGTTTCTCGATAGTGTCAGGACTTACAAGGGAGATTATCCACACTCCTTGGTATGAGTGCTTGGTTTAGGATTTCGGCTCCTCCAATCTGCTCTTGTTCTTGACTCCTCTGATCTGTTGGGCTTCTTCGATCTACTCACCTCCTCTAATATATGTTCTTTTCAGCATCTTCATTATCTTAATATCACTGGCGCCTCTCTAATGACATCTTAGATAGTAGGGCCTAGAATGTGTCCGTCCCGGCCCAAGGGTCCAAATTTTTTTTTTTTTACAATTATTTGAATTTTTTAAATAAACAAAAAACTAGATATAATATATTTTAACTAAATATGGATTTATATACTTTAAACTAAATTTATTTTGCATATTTTCATATACAATAATCAAATAGATTAAATAATTACATTAAATTTTAAGTTTTCACTATTTTTCTTGAAAAAAGAAAACAAAATTCCTAAAAGCTATTTTTGCATAGCTTGTTTGCATTGTATAAGTCTCTTACTTGTAGAATAAAGGCTTCTGAATTAATTACAGAAATTGGTGGGATTGTCCCTAAATACACCTTATATTTGCCATCTAACCTTCCAAAATAAAAACTATTTTGTCTGACCATTATACCCTATCTCATTCTCTCTCTCTTCTCTTCCCTATCTTCTAATCCCTTTATCTCTCACACATGACATATTTATGCTTTCATTTTTTCATCATAAATCTCTATTTTTTACTCTGATTCTTTTGACACCCATATTGCTAATGTTATTATCTCACACTAATTCTATTATTTCGAATTTCAAATCTTGAAATATACATTCTTTTATTTGAATAATATGTAAGTTAGCAGTTATTTCATTATTTACCCGTTATTATTGTATTTTAATGAATTTGGAAGCGATACATAGAGTGTTACCTGTTACAAATAGGATTACGGCTATTTGAAGATAATTGATTAGCGGTTAATATATATATTTTTATGATAATAGTATTGTTAACATGCTAACCTGTTTGTTAGCGATTTATTTAACACATTAATAAATAGACGTAACCCGATAACAAAATTTGTAGCATGTTAAAATTTTGTCAATTTGCTAACAATTTTTATATCATGTTAAAATTGATAAATATCTCTTAGTGTTCAGTTAACATAACGTGTATCCACTAAATCTAGAGTTACATGTTTTTGATAAAGTAAGAGGGCATTTTCGTCCATACAGTGTCAAAATGTTACTCCTTTTTGGATTATCCACATCCATGGATATTCGACCAGTTTGGATCTTCGTTAGGTACATTACACCAATTGTCTCAATTAATTATTGGAAAAATAGCGATATGGCCATGACGTTCTTCTCGGTCTCATCTGATATTTATTTTTCTATTACATCCCAAGTTTTATGTACTTCAGTAGGATTTTCATTTGTATAGCCGAGACAGTATAATTATTTGCATTAAGCATCGGACATTTTATCGATAAAGCTCCTTCTTCTTTTGCTTTTGTCGTTGAACTCGCTGTTGTGATGTCGTCCATGTTTTCCTCTGATACCACTTATTGAGATTCAAAGATTGTATAAGATCAAAATTATAAAGAATAACTAACTTTATTACATTAAGAAAATAATCTTAAAACCTAAGCTCTCAAACACAATCTTTAAACTCTTAAATTATACCACAACTTAGCATCTTCTTATATAAAGATATAAAAATTTTAAATTTACTAGATCTTTTCTCCGCGCTTCGCGCGGATTGTTTATTATAAATACTTTATTTTATTTTATTCTCTTTTATTTAAATAATCTTCATTGATTAAAGCTAATATATAGAAAAATACTTGCAACACTAAAGAAGATAGCTCGTACTTCTTTTATTTTGTTAATGATGTAGTTTAACATTTTCTATGTTCTCTTGGTTTGTATATTTTTTTTTTACTTGTTTAACTAAACGGATCTTCTGAAGTCGTTAAATAACATTTATGAAGAATGTGGTTTAAAATGGGTTTGGGAAATGAATAGTAACAATTTGCATTGCATATCAAATTAATTGCAAGTATTATATATGGAACACAGCAATAGTTTATAAACTCGTACATTATACCACTATATTTTTAAAATTAGCAAATTAGAATTAATTTCAAAGAATCATGTGGACTCTAGGCATAAGGGATAGGAATAGGAATATGATCATGGTTATTGATCGTAATTGGAACAAAAAAAAAACACAATGACAGTAATCATAAGAAGCCTAGAACTCTGCAAATACAACAACGAATAATTTAATGGTGAGGATTCAAAAGGGTCACGTGCTCGTCTTCATAGCCTCTTTGTCTTCATGCTCTTTTGAAGAGTTTTTTCGTGAAGGCAAGCTCTCCATAACATTAACCACAAATAGATGTGCCAAGCAGATTTTGACACTTCTATACTTTTACAAACTCTTGTTAATAATGACCATGAAAAAACTTAGCTACAAATAGAGTTAGCTACTCTTGATAAATGAACTCGTTATGGCTATAGTTTCAAGTAATTTCAGTAAACAAAGGATGACTCAATATGTTTATGATTATAGATGGTGAAGAAAGCAATTGCAACGCCAATAATACTAAGGTACTGAATAAGCATGGACTCATGTGCTACTCCACTATAGATGGTTTAATGATAAGCTTAATTCAAGTTAGGAAACAATACCTATATGAAAGTTTCCTGGTCTTTAGCCAAAATCTCAATGTTCTTTATTTAAAGATCAGACTCCTCTGCTTGACGCTTCTCATAGTCGGAGAATGAAGGACCTCCTAGCTTTTGCTGAATAAATCTGAAGCAAAACGTAAAAAGGATCATAACCAAAACTATCAAATAGTTGAGATTCCATACACCAACGGATCATAGTAGGAATGAATTATTTTACCAAAACTACTAATAAAACTGTGATCTTCGTATTTGAAGCCCTAACTAAAATTTCCATCAACTACCCGACGAGCAGGATAAGTCATACTCGTTGACCTAATTCATTTTATGTTGTGGTTCACAAAATCTATCACCAGGTTAAGTATAACCTGGATTAAAGATTACGTAACTCTCTTAGGAACTAATATATAAAGGTGAACAAACTGCCTGTCCAGAAACTTACTCAAAAGCAGAGGAATGCTTGTTATTCTACTCATACAAAGCAATCAAATAAGCTTTTAGGAATGATCGAGTTCTTTAAGGAAAAGCTATCGCAATAGGTTAAGAAATGGTGGAATGCAGTAAAAGAGAAACTATACCTCTGGTGAGAGTATCAAGAACTTCATTGGGCTAAAATCCTGAAAACTTCTTTCTTGACCTTTCTCTCCTGATTCCAAAAAAAAAAATGGATAATAGGCATCACCAGATCCAATGAAGAAACAAAGATGAAAACATAATTATAAGAGAAAAACAGATTCTTTCTTTAATTCATTTGGGCATGATGGGAAGTAATAAAAAAATTCTAACAGCATCTTCTCCTTGTTATAAAGTATACGTATCTCTTATGTGGCTTGCTGCATGAGAAGCCTGGACTTATCTAGATTCTTCGTAGAGTGAAAAATAAAGTTTTCTCTAATCACTCAACATATCTACTAAGTTACCAAAATACATAGGATCATAGATATCAACATGACGAAAACAAAGACTTACCAAGTTGATGGCTTTGAATCCTTGTTTCAACTAACAATGACAGGGCAACTAAATATATTAACTTTCAAGTGGTTTCCTCCTCTGAATAATTTGATTTAAGATCTCACTACTATTGAGAAAGTACCCGATCACATAGTATAATTGCCGACAGCCCAAATCTGGATCTGCAAAATCAGAACCACCGAGGATAAAGACTTCTCACCATCCGCCATTACTTCCTCTAAACTCACAAACACGCCAAAACATTAGAAATGGTATCTTTCTTTATAAAGACAGAACATTAGTAAGTAATGGAGGAAGCCACCTGTCTCATAATAGCTTGGATCTCCCTCATGATGTCCTTATCACTCTTCTCCCTCGATACACTGAAAAAAAGCCAAAAATTCAAGATTTAATATCCTGAAAACAAAACTTCAAAAACAGTAATCAACATTTCAAAAAAGACAGACCCTTTCTCAACAACTTTAGAATCAGTCTCAATACGGAAGTTCCACCTCTCCAAGACTTCACCAGTAGCTTTGCTCATTATCACCAACACTACTCTCTGCAACTTCCCAGCTTCAAGCCACTCTTTATAAACATCACACAACAGTATATGATCAGTCTCTCTATAAGACTCATAGACAAAAAAAAAGAATACTTTTTTTTTAATTACTGGATAATAATGATTTGACGGATTCCTCTTCACCTGAATAGAACCCTAATTTTAGCAGAGCTTCCTATAACATAAAGAGAGAATCAAATTCACATACAAAAATCGTCAGAACACTTTCAACAGAATAAATCATTTCAAAATAATCATCAGCCTAATCTTTAAACATCCGTCTTCTATAGTTCGATACAATCAATACTAACACAATGGCTATTACTCGCCTTTGGGTTCTAAAACTGAGAGAAATATTTTTGATATATTGCAAGCAGACCTGCATTGGTTGAACACCTTCGCTTCCCACATTCAGGGTTACCCTCTTTTTTACCTGCTCCTAAACCCTAACTTTTTCCTAAGCAACCACCCGCTTCTCCACCACCACTGCCTCTTCTTCTTCTTCCTCCTCCTCCTCGAGTTCTCTCGTATTCTCCAACACCATCGGCATTGCGCTTGATCCACTCTCTGAAATCTGATTCTTCTCCTTGAGAACCTGAAGCACAGCAAGTATGTTCGATATGTCCCCTGCTGTTCGAGATTCTAGAGTTTCGATTGGGAGCTGGAGATCCACTATCTCTTGCAGAAGGTTTGACGCTCGCGTATCCAGCGTTCTTCCTCACGAAGCCATATTTGCTCCAAGCGAATCCTCCTCTGCTCTTCCCTGAGCCACCGAGACTCTTCGTGGCCGTAGCCGGAGGGGTTTTCAGTAAAGACTCTTCGCATTCGTAGCCAGAGGGGTTTTTAGTTGAGAGGCAGACGATGGAAGTAGGAAGAGAGAGAAGGACATGGGAAGAAGGTCTGAAGGTTAGAGTTCAAGTGCTGCTGCTACGAGATCGGAGAGGGAATGGGAGAGAGAGGTCATGAGAGAGAGAGAGAGAGAGAGAGAGAGAGAGAGATTAGAGGTTTATTAAGAAATAGATGGAGAGGTGAAATTAGTTTGTATGATCGCGAGAAGGAAAACAGAGAAGTGGGTGAAATCAAACGATCTATGACTTGAGATTAGGATTTTTGAAATCGGCTACAACCGTGAAATTGTTTTGAGTTAAGCGGAGGTGACGTGGCAACTTCAAGTACTCTAATTGGTCAATTATTTTTGGGGATGTGGATATCTTCTCATGCTCTCATATTCCCCTTTTAATAGTGTAAGATTAGTAAAACCTATTATCTTAATCATAACTGGAATATGACTAGTGTAACTTGGATTCCAAGTTATCTTCAAGTTTAATTCCAACAATTTTTTTACCGAAGCAAAAAAATCTGTTCAATTATTCATTTACATAAATTATACCACAACTTAATTTTTTGTAACTGCTATTAAATATTCTTAAATAGCACGTACAAAAATGCTATGGTATATCACAATATAATAGCATTGCATAAAACCGATATTTAAAGTGTTTGGCCTATATTACAAAAGGGTGATGACATAGGCTTGTTAAAACACTATGGTATCTTTAGATAGCGTTTTTTGGCCTCAAAGAAAATATTTTTTCTTGTAGTGATTCGAAGATAAATAAACAGAACACATGCCTACAGTCAGAATCCGTTACTCTGAAGAACCCTCTGGCTTTATGGTAGCCTTCTTGATGGGAGCAATACCTTTATCTTCCATTATTGTTGACGTTGGAGATAAGCTTCTTGTGGGGGAGAGATGAGGCTCTGAACCAGACCTTTCTTTGAATTACCCACAGCCCCCATCTTTACTGATTTATTTTCAGCCTCCTGACTGATCTCCAAATCAACTTGCTCTCCCAAGTATTTTTCTACAGCAGCATTGTCTTCTTCCTTCATTGTACCAGTAATCTTTCCATGTTCCCATTTCTGGATATCATTGACACCCTCCTTCTGAAGTTCCGAATCTGAAAAGTACACACCTCCACCATCATATTCGCCTCATCTAGGGCCTGAGAGTTATTTCAGTCAAATTATTAAAAGACCTAATTAAATTTATTTTTGAATTTTTAAAATGGAAAAAGTCAATCTACTGTACATGAAGAGTCATTCATCTACGAATGATATCTAAATGAGTAGAAACTTAAAAACCACATAGTCTTCATCCATGAAGATAATTACTTAGAACTACCGAGGAATTGGAAAGAACTTACAATTCGACTCTTAAAGAAGATGCATCATAAGCATCATCCAGGACTAATATTTCTATCATAAACAAAGAATAATAAGCTTTTGTTGCAGAACATTGATGTTGATTTAGGATTTAAATATGTGTTTCCCATTGAGTCATTTGACTAGAACAAAAAAATTTCTCTGTTTTTATGGATAATTTTTGTTTTTTGATAGTAGAATGATTGATGTAGAGGAACTCATTGCTGGAATAAGAGTCTACATGAAGTTTGTTTATATGGTTCCGGTTTTAGAATGAAGGGAACAAGTATGGAATGTCTTACGTGTTTTACAACAACGAGAACAACGAGAAATGGACAATGGTGTTATGATAGTTGATTTCACTGAGATTACAGGGCACCATGAAAAAGAAGGGGGCTTGAGACCCTCAGATAGTTCATTTTAACCTGCCAAACAGATTTTGACTGATTGTGAAATTTTATTTATAAGTCCTTGATGTCTTGGATAGAGAAAAGCGGACACACAAAAGTTAAGTGTCGACTATATGAAGCTCTAGGGAACTGATGTGGTCATCAAACCTGGGACCGACCCCAGACAAGAACTCATGGAACCAAGAAGAGCTAAAATTACTAAGGAGACCAAACCAAGGCCAACCAATGAGAAACTTCGAGTAATTATACCTGGTGAAGCTAACTAAGGAGTGACAACAGATCAGGAGCACCCAAATCTCAGGGAAAACAGAGGCCCTTCTCAAATTCTCAGCCAAAGAAGGCATAGCATACCCGAAAAGCTCCATGAGACATATTCCGCCCAAATGAAGACCAATATAAACTGGTATATCCCAACGACCTCTTAGAATAGATTCCTAGCTCGGATAGAGTACACCTTGAAGTGGAATTGGTTCTAAATATTTCCTCATGGAGAAGTTATTCATGCTAGAACTTGGAAGACTTCCACTGGATCCTATAGAGGCCAACATTTACTTATTGAAGCACTCCGGCCAAACCAGATGGACATAAGCTATAAAACAACCTGGTATGAATTCTTGATCCATTAGAGAATCACGTAAATTGGATCACAACAATACTGGTTCAGAATTGGGAGATATTGATCTTACAAGTTGGATGTTCTCTTTTAGCCCAAGATATGCGACAAGGTCAAAGATGAAGACCACTTGGATATTATTACGGATCTCTCACGTTTCCATCAAGCCCAAGAAATCATGAAATTCCACTAGATATGAAAGTTATGATCTATTTACTAAGATGGGTCAAACCGTTCAATTAAAGACAAGTTCTAAACCCGGTTGGATTGTGAGCTTCAAGAATTACTCATGGCGACCAGGAGATCTTTTTCTCATCTAGAAGATATCCAAGACCTCCTACCATGTACCACAATCCAGAGGATTAGGCGAATCCATTCATATTGCAATTTCCTTTTTTGGAAGTGTTCACACCAAAGGAAGTCTTCACACGAACACATAGACCATTCTTCCTATCTGTCCCACCTTTCATTTGTGTATTAAACCAACACCACATCAAGATCTTCTTTTCCAAGACATCCTTTTTTAGAACTGGCTAGAGGAGGTATCTTCTCCTTCTCGACAACCTTCTGAGGTCTAGAACTCGCAATATTGATTGTACGAAATGAAGTAGAAGGAGTCAACCATTCATCAATATCGTCTTCCTTTGAAGGTTGTGATGGATCGAAACCTTTTACAAAGGTGACTTGAGGAAGTTGATCCATTTTCTATGTAGGTAGTCTTGAGTGTTCAACTCAAGCTCAATATCAGTCGTTTGCGAAAATTTAACATAAAAAAAAACTCTCGAAATTAGCCATTTCCTCCTGCTAAATGAAACCATAGTTATTAGAAACACCAACAACTTCAACTTATATTACAAGTGATCTTAACCGTCTCAATGCATTACAAACTTTAAAAACTCCAACATGACCTTATATTACAATGATCATGTTAATAAATGACAAACTTAAACATGGCCTTATAGTACAAATCACCTTAACCATCGATACATTTGATAGATTTTAACTATCTGTAACTAACAAACTCTGTAACTTCCTTTTAATAACAATGAACAAACGTTTACACTTGAGTATGAATCACTTTACACGCTCATGACGAATTTAGAAGAGATTTATCAGTCTCATAGCGACTGAGAAGAGCAGACTCATCGCGTCTCTCACTTACAACATCAAACATAAACTCTAAGGAATTACAACGACTTTATTTAACTACTCGAATCAGCTCACCGGCTCCTAACGGCAAACCCTGTAACTTTTTTTTATTAACAATGAACAAACGCTTACACTTGAGTATGAATCACTCTAAAAGCTCATGACAAATTTAGAAGAGATTCATCAGTCTCTTAGCGACTGAGAAGAGTAGACTCATCGCGTCTCTCACTTACAACATCAAGCATAAACTTTAAAGAATTACAACAACTCTATTTAACTACTCGAATCAGCTCAACGGCTCCTAACGGCAAACCATCTTGCTGATTCCAAAGCTTCTTCCGTGTTGTTTTATTCCAAAGACTCTGTCTCAGAGAGAAGTTTCTCCTCTTCCTCATTCAAACCTTCTTTACCCGCCTTACTTTTCGAATAGTATACTCTCTTATACCTATCAATAATTCCCCCTCCAAAATTCAGCTTGCCCTCAAGCTGATACTCTGGAAAACACTCGACAAACTCTTTATAATCCATCCAAGAATCCTCAAGAGATAACTTACCCTTCCATCTGACCAACAACTCAAGCTTGCCCTTTGAATCATATCTCTTATCCACCACGTCTTCAGGCTCCAGAGAAACATCACTATCAACAATACACCCAGGAGGAAGGATATTCCCCTGCTCATTGTCTCCCACTGCTAACTTCAATTGAAAAACATGAAACACATGATGGTCATCTGCTGGAAGCTGCAACTTATAAGCTGTCGGTCCAATTCTCTCTACTACGCGATACGGTCCTTAGAACTTGGCCGCTAACTTCTGACAAAAGCGTCTCGCCATCGTTTTCTGTCTGTAAGGTTGTAACTTTAGGTACACCATAGTTCCCACCTCAAACTGAACATCTCTTCTCGACTTATCAGCTTGTATCTTCATCATCTCTTGAGCTCTATGTAAGTTCTGCTTTAAAGATCGTAACACTTCATCTTTTGTCCTTCAAAGCCTGCTCCAATCAAAGTTCGATGTAAACCCCAGTTCAAAATGAAAAATAGGAGGAGGATCACAGCCATACACCACTTTAAACGGAGTCTCTTGCAAGGATTTATGAAACGTGGTATTGTACCAAAGTTCAGCCCGAGAAAGATAAGAATACCTTGTCCTAGGGTGTGTTGATGAGAAGCAACATAGGTAAGTTTCAAGGTAACGGTTTAACACTTCAGATTGACCATCTGTTTGAGGATGGAAAGTTGTACTGTACTTCAATTTAGTTCCCGCAAGACGAAATACCACTTACCAAAATGAACTTAAGAAAATTCTGTCTCTGTGTGAAACTATGCTCTTGGGAAACCCATGCAGCTTCACGACCTCGCTCACAAACTTCTTGGCCACATCTAATGCCGTAAAAGGATGTTTCAAGCTCAGGAAATGCGCGTACTTACTCAATCTATCAACAACCACAAGTATGAAGTTAAACCCATTCGATGTTGGTAATCCCTCCACAAAGTCCATGTTAATATCATCCAAATCTTTTCTGGAACAGGTAGTGGCTGAAGTAACCCTGCAGGAGACAGCATTGAATACTTATGAGCCTGACAAACTCCACAAGCTGCAACATACTTCTGAATCTGTTTGTACATGCCCTCCCAAAAGAATGATCTCTGAACTCGTTTGAGTGTCATTAAAACCCCTGAGTGCCCCCCCCCCATTTTAGTACCATGAGATTCCTGTAAAATGACTGATATAAACTTTGATTTTTTTGAAATAACCAAACGCTGTTTTGACCATAACTTCCCATCCACCACCGTGTACTTTGTAGATTTCAACTCTCCCTGTTGAACCTTACCAATCAATGACTGAATCCCAGTATCCTCTTTCAGTAAGCAAATCTTCCAACTGCAACACTGTTGGTACTGATAAGGATAAGAGCAATGTAGAGATTTGCATACTCCGTGATAGACCATATGCCACCCTATTCTCTATTCCTGGCTTATAGAAAATCTCGAACTCAAACCCAAGAAGCTTTGTTAACAACTTCTGATACTCAAGATTAACTTCTTTTTGTTCCAACAAGTACTTTAAGCTTCTCTGATCCGTGTGTACATGAAACATTCTGCCCATCAAATAGTGTTTCCATTTGCGAATTGCGAAGACAATTGCCATAAGTTCTCTCTCATATGCTGGCTTCAATTGTTCCCTGTCAGTCAATGCGTGTCTAAAGAATGCTACAGGTCTCTTAATCTGCACCAAAACTGCTCCTAACCCAAATCCAAACGCGTCAGATTCGACCACAAGAACTTGCTGAAAGTCAGGTAGTGCTAACACCGGTGCATTTATGATTACATTTTT